TGCTTGCTTTATTTGTAGACAATGCAGGTTCTCTTGTGTGTAAAAACTGGCGTATCTTGATTTTAGCATGTTTAGAAAGTTGGCCGGTGGCTCTGCGCCGTGCTGGACGTTCTGGCATATGGTGGGCGTTTGCTTTGACACACCCTTGGGGTACCTGATAATGTAGTAACTGAAAGTAGAGAACACTTTACACCGACTGGAAGCAGGTCCCAGTATTTGCACAGGTTGTGAAACATGATTTTGACCCAAAGCTCATGACCGAAGGTAAGCTTATGAACATAGATTGACTGGTAAATTGAGAGCTTTGCCTTTTCGGCTTCGCTCTTTCTTCACTACGACAGACAAACACAGATCCATCTGTTGATCTCATGCTGCATTCTTCCCTCAGTCGTGAACAAGACCCCAAAATAACTCCTTCACTTGGGGCGGGCTCTCATCCCCAACCGTGGTCTTAGATTTGGAGGTGCTGACTCTCATCCCAACCGCTTGGCAGCAAACACAACACGGTCGATCCCCTTCTCCCAATCCCCAAAACATATGTCAACTGGTTGGCTGAAGTCTCATCCACCCTTGAGCGCCCTACTGAGGGTGCTGAGCTGGTCCACTGAGATGCTTGACGGTCAACCAGAATTCCCTCAAGGCTGTCCGGAAGTCATTCTTCATGGCCTCACCTGTTTTGACCCGATTTTTTTGCCTCAGCGACCACTGACGCTGCTTTCCCATTAGTCTGCCGGTACCCCATCAGCTGCCACTGATGTTTCACAGCCCAAAAAGGCTCGATAAGGTACTGCCTCCACAACAGGCATGACCAGCTGATGGCCACAGCTCCCAACTGCTCCGAGATGGTGGCCTTTTGCTCCCTGCAAGTTTCTGGCAATCCTCTGCTCTACGCTTTTATCAGTAATGTAGAAAAAAATGAGCGGAGTGAATATTTACTCTTGAGCAAATTTGGACAGGAGGTTTTGTCATCAGCAATATGGTATATCGCTGTATATTGTGTATATTACTGTAATGCACTTTACTTTGGAGTCAACCAATCCTCTATTAAGCGTCTCTAGGTGGTTCACAATGCTGCTGCTCGCCTCTTGACTGGTACTCGTAAGAGGGAGCACATAACTCCTACTCTGGCATCCTTTCACTGGCTCCCGATACATTTTAGAGATCTTTTTAAGAACCTGCCATAACATTCCATAGCATACAATACAATGCCGCCCAAAATGAACGTACAATCTTACACAACACTAAAATGGTCCAATACAATCTGATGCTATTTTAAAAAAGCCATAAAACACCATGCCATGCATTGACACGATCCGTTATCTAGTCGTACAGTCTCCAATGTGTTTCTTTATGTGGAATATCAGGTGCCTATATTAATACTTCATTTCTAAATGCATTGTTGTTTTGTAACTTTGTGACTGACAGAAACCACGAGGCTCTTTACTGGGACTCATATTGTACTGTTACAGGACGTCTTTGTCGATGCACAAGTTACTAATCCTAAATCTCAGTAAGACTTGACCGAATTTCCTGTCTTCTGCCTTATGCTGAGCACCTGGTGCCATGCTAACATCATTAGCATCATGCGATATCCTTTCGCCTCCTCCATATAACAAGGTTGGCTGGCACTCCCTCACTATCACCAGGGATCAGCTTGGCTTTGTTTGCCTGATTGGAAGGCTTCCGCCCCACCTTAATTCACTTTGATGCTGAAATACTGGAACCCGAAAGTCACTTGTGAATGCATACATGTCTCATGTGTCCCTCACACATCCCGTAAAAGACCCTCTTTCAAGTTTAGCGTGCCGCGCGCTTGGAGTACTTAACCGGCTTTGTTGAAATACGATTCCCTTGCTCCGCAAATCTCTTTTAAAATCTTGTTTTAGTCATCTATTTTAAAAAAAATAATAAATCATAAATGCCTTTTGATGTTGCACTTATTTTCCTGACACTGATGCTGGGAGAGAGTATCTCAAGTGTGCTGTTTGCATTTTGAATGAATACTTGTTTGAAGATTGATCACAACAATACAAATCTGTCCCAAATATTTTACTGTAAAAGGGAACAAAACTGTCTTGTCGTATTTTAAGTATCACTGTCGGGACGGAGTGGCGCATTTGAATGATAGATGTTGTTGTGGTTGGTAGTTACCAACATTTACGGTAGATAGGTTAAAACTGGGACAGAACTCCAGTATTTTATGTTATATTTTAAAGAATGCAGTAGATATGACCTTACATTACGTTACTTTCTGTTACATGATATTGCCTTAGGTGACTGTTACTTATGTGATGTTACCTTGTACATTATGTCACCTTACATTAAAATGACAAAATACGTTATGTTGCTTTACCTGACATTGCATTAGCCTAGCTGTAATAATTAAGTGGAAATTAAAAGTAAATTAAAATAAAGTCAATTTTGTTAAATTATGTTATGTTAAAAAGTGAGAATAGATGTTTTTTTTTTTTTTTTTTTTAATAGCCCACTCCCTGAATGGCACAATAACCACTATTTACTGTGCTGCAGATTTTGTGCACGATGGGAAAAATCCACCGCAGCCAGATCTGGCAGACAGAGCCTGAGTCAGAGGTGAGAAGAGTCTTTCGGGAATTTTACCACACATACTTAAGCGACACGTGTGACTGTAGCCCTGCCTCTTCTCCATCCTAACAGGATGTGCCAGCGCGCCCCTTCGTCACCACCTTCTGGGAGAGGAACTTGCCTTCAGTCGGCGGTCTGGTCAAGTTCGTGGCAGTGTCGGGCTTTCTTTCTGTCGCCACAGTGGCTGGTGTGGCCGCCTACAAGAAAGGCCTCATCCCTCGGTGCTAGATACCAGCGCTGCCGTCTCATCACCGCACTTGTGTACTTACTTGCTAAGCGCGACTTTCCACATGGAAAGAAGTGCGCTGACTGTTGATTCATAGCTACAATTTCTAAAACTATACATTTGTCAACCTGAATAGCTAAGCTACATGGATTCCTCTTATTATAATAATGTCCATCCCTATACACACACACCATACATTTCCAATTATCCTCCATGCCTTTGCCAATTATGTGACTTTTTTTTTTTAACTGATCCTGCTCAGATGTGCGTATCTGAACTTCTGTTGCACTGTGTGGGTGTTATTTGTATCGTGTGTGTGTGTGTGTGTGTGTGTGTGTGTGTGTGTGTGTGTGTGTGTGTGTACAAAGTGTACACTGGTGATTTTAGGTGCTGATTTACTGTGATGATGCAGCAACTGGGCCATTGCAGATGGTAACAGTGGAGGTTAAAGCTTAGGTCTGTTATCTTTTTCTACCAATTGTCAAGATGTAGTCATGAAAATAGCGCACTTTTATCCATCCATTTTTCAATTGGAATTGTTGTCTTTAGGACCACGGGCAAGAGGCAGAGTAAACCCAAGACTGGTCGCTGACCAATTGTGGGGTCAAGCAATCATTCAAAAAAAAAAAAAAAAACTCACGGGATTAGTTCGCAAAAAAGAAAACAATAGTGTGTTCCATACATGTATCTGTACATGGATGTGAATCGGAATTTCTTGCAGGGATTTATTGACATTTAAAATAAATATGAGGAGTATTTTTTTAGCGGCATGCAGCGACTGCTGTATGGCTGCTGGTTGAGGAGAGTTTTGGTCGATGTAATAGAAGCATTTGAATGTATTTCCTTAAGACTAATTGCGCAATTTTTTTACTCAAAATTTATTTCTCCTGCATAAGTCATCTATTTTGATGGTCTGCATAAAGGCGCTTCTTATTGTATCGCTTCAATGTTATTTAAAGAATCGGACATCTTTTAATCACAAATGTAGCTTATGTATAAAAATGAAGGTTTTGGTTGTAATTGTCATCAATCCAAAATATGAATAAAAGATGGATTGTAGTCACTTGGAAAAACAGTAATTGTCAAAAAAAAAACAAAAAAACACCAAACTCTTGTGTCGTACAATTTGTGCGTGTGTGTGTGTTCATGTGCATGTGCGTTGAGGAATTCATACTGTTCTTGTCTCAAAGTATGATGTGTGTCTGTTTCACCAGTGTTGTTTGTTGTGCCTTTATGGGAAAATTGTGGTGTTTCACGAATATTATTTTTATTCTCTTAAGTGCCTGTGTGACTGAAAATTCCACACACTCCTTCTTGCCCTCAGTGTTTAGGAACTGCTTTAATAATGCAGCCATCCCTTAAAGGGGCCGTTGACAGCTTTCAACTGAAAACTAAGAAAGAGTTTGCCATTTCAGGCTGTTTTTTGTTGGGGTTTTTTTAGGTCCAAAATACGATCACCGGGAAAGCACATTTCTTCATAGAACACAGTGGAAGCTTTAGAAAATAACGTTATTACCCCCTGCCTGACAAAGCTGTTAGTTTTTTTGGTGGGTAGGGTTCTATTACTGTCCTGTAAAGTCTGTTTCTGTTTTAGCAATTTTGTACCTTCATAGGTGGTATCAGTCTGGTAAAAGAGACAGGGCATTGTCTGTTCGCCCCATTCACACAGGTTGCAAATAAATAACTCAGACCACATTCTGTCATTGTGTAAAATGTTGCAAAAACGCAATGTAACACTTGTTTTGACAATGCCAATGTTGTGTGAACATACCTTAAGAACACCCTTTTAGATGTCCGTATTTGATTGCTGAAAAGAAAGTGGTGATATTTACAGGAAGAAAAAAGTTAAATAAATCTTTTACTGCTTACCTGTGCATACCTGTGCAATCCCTTTTTTATTGAAGTTTTGGGTGTGTGTCTGTGTGTGTATACAGTGTATATATATATATATATAGTTTGGTGTTTCAACGTTCAATTAAATGTAGAGGAAAAATGATTGAGTAATTAACAATGGTGTTTCAAACATTAAAAAATGCCTACGGTATTTTGAAAATATTTATACCGAAATATATACACACACAAATATATTTTATATATTTTTATTTTAGTAGTAGTCGTACTACTGCAGTACTACTACTAGGAGCATTATACACACCAGGGCGTCCTGGGTTTACTATAGAGTTCCGTTCTTGCAGCGGAAACGTACCGGTAACCACTAATGTGCACGTAAGCTAGTACATGTCGCAATCGAATGCTTTAGCAATGCATATTTGTCCTTAAAAAAAACTTTTAGGCCACAAATACACAGCATCTAAAAGCAAAATATGAAGTTGGGTGGTCACTGATCGTGTATCATACAAAGTTCTTCCGTTGGAAACGTCATATGTCTGTCGTCAGGATCCCATGCAAGGTACTTTATGCTAATGCTATGACTTTCTAGGTAGAGTTTTAACATTGACCACTAGAGGGCAGTTAATGGCCACTTTAAAAAAATCATGGTACGCTTGGTTTCGAATTCATTTTGGACCCAAAATTCCGTTTTTGCACGCGCTAAAACCAATAAAGGGGGTTTATTATAATAGTAAATGTCTGTTTTTAAAATGGCATTATCGAGCAATTTAACGTCTCTTGGAATTGAGTAGGATGCGCCCAACGGCAAAACCACAAGTCCCAGAATGCTTGCTCACGGAGCAGTTACGTGACCTTAGGTGTTTTTATTTTCTCCAGAATCTTACTAATGCTAAAAATTTTAAACATTTTGCTCTAAATTTTTAAACGTACACTGTCCATTATTATAAATATTTCACAGCCAATATGAATGTATTTTTATAAAAGTGTAATTTATCACATTATCACAATGCAAAAGTTTGACTGTGTGGCATTTGTGAGTAATTATGGAAATATCGTTTAATATTAATCTGAAAATAGCAGCACAGACCCAGTGGTTAGCACGTCTGCCTCACAGTTCTGAGGTTTGGGTTTGAATCTGTGCATGGGCTTTAAAACTCACCTATTTGCTCTTTTGTGCTCAGGCCAAAGCACTGTTTAATACCATATAAAAGTACTGCTTTGGCCCTATCTCATGCTACAGAACTCTGTTAAAGGGATTTTCTTTTGCGCTTTGCCAAGTTTGTCACCATCCTGTGGCATTACAAAGATTTATAAACTAGTTTCCATTTCCTCGCCGATTTTCTCCTTTCATTATTTCATGACAGTGCTTGGTCCCTCCCTTCCTGTGTACACTCTATGTGACCGGTTGGCAAGCAGTTCTGGGTGTAGACCTATCCCACCTTTCACCCGAAGTCAGCTGGGATAGTCTCCAGCTGACCCATAATTTTAATAAGAACAAACCCTACAGAAAATCAATATGGATGGATTATTCTTCAAAAATGCATACATATGTGGCCAAATACATCTCCCACCAACTACACAGATTTATAAATATACTTTCATGGCCACTATATAGTCCTATTAATTCCCTGCACACATTCCTATTAATTTCCATGGAAAGTGTCAAATCCAAGCATCATCCCTACTCATCGGTTTTCTTCGGATCACCTCTTATGTTTGTAGTAGTGGCGCTAATGAGTGTGGAGCAGCTTTTTAAATGCGGAGCAGGGATAAATGGTGTATGTGCAGAAGCTTTGCCACTTGACATATGGCACCTTAATTGCACTGATCACTGCCATCTTAGCGCACAACGCCGACGGCTCGTCCAATCACGGATTGACATGGCGCACTTAGTCAGCACCGCCACTTTCTAATGCGCTGTGACATGTCAGGCTTGCTTGCTTTCAAAGTACACACACACACACACACACACACACACACACACACACACACACACACACACACACACGCGCGCGCGCGCACGATCACACCGGCCTCTCCTTATGAGACTGCAGCCCTGCTCCTGGCCTCAGTACACTTTGCTATTATATGAAATGTGACACTGTCTATTTACCTCCCAATCCTTCACGATGGGAATTGGATTCAGAGATGGCAACAGTACAAAGTTGGAGGAGTGTGCGGGTGCCACCACCACCCAACTGCAACCATACTACCCAAGTGAAATGTGCTGGAAAATGTTCCAAGACTCGGAATATTGTTAAATCCATCGATCCATCCATGTTTTAGACCAGTGATTCCCAACCTTTATTGAGCCAAAGGCACATTTTTTTCAGTTAGAAAAATCGCACGGCACACCACCAAACACAATTGTCACAAAAAGAGGATACATTTGTCAATTTTATACTTTTTGCCATCTAATAGAAGATTTCTGGTGTATTTAGTTTGAAAAATGGTTTGATCCATCTCTCTGAGTGTGTGTGTGTGTGTGTGTGTGTGTGTGTGTGTGTGTGTGTGTGTGTGTGTGTGTGTGTGTGTATACATCCACATAGACAGACAGGTAGCCTAATATAAATGAAATAAGATTGCTTTTCGACAAACAAGAGCTCGAGTAGTTTCAGGTAAGACTGTTCAATCAAATGGTCTATCCTTCTAGAATCATTCAAGTTGGATCAATGTCTTAGTATGTCTTCATATAAAAATTGCTCAGTTATCTGACTTTTGGCTGATGGTATCGAGACAGCAGGGAGAGGTTTTGAGTATTCAGAATATTATTTTATCATTTCTATGTCTTTCCTTGCATTCAAACTGTCAGTCTGTATTGTGGTTATTTTTCAAACTTACATGGCAGTTAATAATGCTTATAATGTCACTTAAAATAAGGTGATGATGACAGATTAGCTCTGGAAGGGATGGATTAGCTTCACATTATTTGTTTTGTGAACACTTATTTTGAAATATCATCAAATAAGAGGTTATCCAGCGCCCAGGAACAGTGTGTGTTCTTCCTTACAGGCTCCACTGCGTAAGAAAGTGAGGCCAGACAGAGGTAAAATGTTGAGAGGTTAAAGGAGTGTGGAAGCATCAAGACGTTCACTCAACTTCTCTTTTAGCAATAAATGAATAAAAGCTCTGTTGGAAGTAAAATACTTTATCGCGTAAATGATCTGGCACCTTTAGTGCCCCCTGAAACGACACACAAGCAACTACTGCAATTTTACATCTGCTAGTTTATGATAGCATTTGAGGTAGGCAATCCAAAAATACAGCATTTCTTTATGTAGTGAGCTTTATGTAGTCAACTATAAATGGGTAAGGCCTCTATTTATACATTTTGGAAATAATAGGTGGTAAGCAACCAGTCCCCGTGATCTTAACATGGATAAGCAATGTCGGAAATAGATGAATGGGAAACTGTTAAACAATAACACTATTCATCAATCCATTTTCTACAGTGACTGACTGCCTGTCCATGTGAGGGTTGCAGGTCCTATCCTAGATGACGAGAGGCGCGGTACACACTGGACTGGTCATCCGTCACTTGGTCACAGGGCACATCCAGGTAAGTATTCACACTTGCATTCTCACCTTTTAAAACACAAGCGAGGCGGACTACTCACCCCGTGTTTCGTCCTCAATTCAATTGCCTGTCTTTGTTCTGTTTTTAAAGATTTTAAATATTTTTTTAATCATGCAAAGCACATTGAGTTTCCTTGTGTATGAAATTAAATAGAAATAGAACTGCCTTGCCTTCAATTAACCTAACATGCATTTTTTTTTTTTTTAAATATGAGAGGAACAACAGAAAAGGGGAACCCCACACTGAGATTTGAAGCCCAAACTTGGAACTGTGGCACACACGTGTGAACCAATACATGACCCAATACCTCTTGACTGGTACTCGTAAGAGGGAGCACATAACTCCTACTCTGGCATCCCTTCACTGGCTCCCGATACATTTTAGAGTTCTTTTTAAGATCCTATTATTTGTTTTCAAATCTTTTAATGGCCTCGCTCCACCTTAGCTCTCTGGGCTCCTCCGCCCCTACATACCTGCCCGGCGCCTCCGGTCTGCGGACCAGACATTAGAAGTACCAAGAACTAAGAGGAGGCTCAGAGAGGATCGAGCCTTTTCCGTTGCTGGTCCCTCTCTTTGGAATGACCTCCCACTGAACATTCAGCAAGCCCCCTCACTGCCCATCTTTAAAACTCATTTGTATTCTTAGCTTTACTGTTTTGTGCTTTCTACGTCTTCGTTATTAATTTATTATTTTATTGGTGTATATATGATATTTGCTCCACGAATAGCACTTTGTATACAGCGATGGCTGTTTTAAAGTGCTCTATAAATACAGTTGAGTTGAGCTGAATTGAGAATACATGACCACACTTCCACAAAAATGCCAGAACAGTGGTACTTTGAATTTTGTGTCTAATTTGTTTCGTGATCAAGTTCATAACTCAATTTACTCATACAGTATATACGACCAATTTTCTGTGATTGGCTGGCAACCAGTTCAGGGTATCCCCGCCCACTGCCCAAAGACAACTGGTATAGGCTCCAGCACGCCCACGACCATTGTGAGGATAAGTGGATTAGAAAATGGATGGATGGATGGATAAGATCAATTTTCTGAACTGAAATGCTGTTAAGCCATTCAAGCCACCCCAAAAGAAATATAGGGATGTGCGGTCAGGGTAGGCATGTGAAGCAGTGCCTCCCCTTGCTTGCCATTCTCTGCATGGAAAAAAAAAAGAATAATGATTACATTAAATTCTGTTCCATTTTAGTTCTTCCCCATGCTTTACATTGATTTGCTTTTCACCACAATAATTATCAATGATTAAAGTAGTAGCTGAATGTTTGCTTAAAGATAGATAGATAGATAGATAGACAGATAGGTAGATAGATAGATAGATAGATAGATAGATAGATAGATAGATAGATAGATAGATAGATAGATAGACAGATAGGTAGATAGATAGATAGATAGATAGATAGAAACATGGACATATAGAAACATGGACATAGTAGGAAATTGGCTCATCTGTTATTATATCAGTCTGGCTGTCTGTCCGTCTGTCTGTCTCCCGCTGCAAACCTCTCCGTCACTGTTGTGGAGTGATAAATAACTGAAGTAAATAGCAAAGCCACCTGAGTCTGCAGTGGGAAGAAGCGCAGGCGGGAAGGATGGAGTTGAGAGAGAGGCTTTGCGAGTCTTAATCCCCAGAGAGGAGTGAGCGCAGTTTGTCAGGAAGTCAAGCCCTGGAACTCGAAATAGTACGCTGCCCATCTAGTCAGGTAAATCGTTCTGTGGAGGAATGCAGGAAATGAGTGCAGGTATATAAGATAACCAGCAGTCACTGTCTTATTATCTTTGTAAAGGCCAAGATATTTGATACTGCTCTTGTATTGGATCTCTTCAGATTGTGCAGGTCTACTTGATAATATATTTGCAAAATTTGTCATATATACTGCTCAAAAAAATAAAGGGAACACTTAAACAGCACACTGTGACTCCAAGTGTTCCCTTTATTTTTTTACTGTTATAACAACTTTGTTTGCAACAAGCACTGGCGAACAAAAAACGGGTCAGTTATTTCATGTAACGTATTGTCTGCACTATAAGGCACACCTAAACGCATTCAATTTTAGCACGTCCACCTCACAGTGCAGAGGTTGTGGGTTCGAATTCGGCTCCGGCCTTCCTGTGTGGAGATTGCATGTTCTCCCCATGCCTGCGTGTTTTTTTTTTTTTTTTTTCAGGTACTCTGGTTTCCTCCCACATTCCAAAAATATGCATGGTAGGTTAGTTGAACACTCTCAATTGTTCCTAGGTGTGACTCTGAGTGTGAATGCTTGCTTGTTTATGTGTACCCTGCGATTGGCTGGCAAACCAATTCAGGGTGTACCACTCCTCGAAGTCAGCTGTGATCGACTCCAACATTCCCACGACCACCGTGAGCATAAGCGGTTCAGAAAATGTCTCTACATCTGCCCTTCTTTTCATTCGAAGTTATCTGGGACAAGCGCGATAGCAACGGATGGAGTGATGTTGCAAGCCTATATAAGCATCTTCTTTAAAGAAGATGACCAATCAGCAAGCAGATTGCACTGGAGGCTTTTGGACATTGCTGATGCAAAGGAGGCAGCCTCAGGACTTGTCATCCCTCTCTCAACCATTCACGGATGGCAGCCCTGACCCCATTCACACGCTCCAGTGGCCACCAGAGCCCAGGAGTTGATGCTTTGTTAGGAATGGGACCTCACTGCTACCTCAAATCCTCAGGTGAGCACATGGAGGGAAAACTCCACATTGAGGACATAGAAGACTTTCAGAAATGAAAGACACAGGCTCAATCATTTGTCATTTCACATCATGAATGTAAAGTACTGGTCTAGTGCGCGCAATTGGCTGGTGACCAGACTAGGGTGCACCCCACCTCTTCCCCACCGTCTGGGGTACGATTCAGCCCACCCATGACCCTAATGAGGACAAGTGCTTTGGAAAATGGATGCATGGATGGATGGTCCAGTGCCTCATGAGACCAATCTGTTCCTAAGGGGGCAACAGTGAATCACGGTATGTGCACTAGGACGGTCCAAACATTTAGTGCTTTAAGGCAATAACTCATTTTGGCCACTCGTTTTCTGTCAAGTTGAGTGTAGGAACATAATTTGAATGGAAATTTGCTAGCTATTGCTGTATTGGGGACAGCTTGACAATCAGAAAGTCCAATCTCAAATGTAAAAAAAAACAAACAAATAATCTGGATGATACTTTCTAATATACAGTTTGCTGAATTACCGGTACTTCACAGAGAAGTCAGAGAGGTTGCAGGGGTTCATGCAACTGATTTCTGATCATTGCCCGCAATTCACTTCCATATCAGAGACAGTGTGATAACATCAGTGGTTCACACTCCCATTAGTCCCCATGGACAAGAGCACTAGGTTGCCTCCAAGGATCACATGAGTAGCCCGCTGGCCTGTTCCAAAAATAGCTCACAAGTGATGGGGCACTGTGATTTTTTTTTTTTTTTTTTTTTATCATTATATTCAAAACTTATGATTAAATTTCATATGAGCAAATTTGTTATTTCTGAAGTGTGAATCAAATCTGGCACTTAACACTTTAGCATCAACAGACAAGCTTCAAAAACGCTGGTGACCCCCGGATGACCTTCATTTAAGCAGACTTGAATGTTTCGGTTTTATTTGGAATGGTGGAGGAAGCCGGGGTACTCAAAGAAAAAAACTGGTAATGCATGCGCACTTCACACAGGAAATCCAGAGCAGAAATTCAAACCGCAAACTGGTGAACTGTGAGGCAGATGTGCTAACCACGAGTCCACCCTCGGCTGTCTGTGCAAAAACAGAGGAAGTCTCTGGTCACATCTTTTATGCTTTTTCTACCCCCCCCACCCCCTTCTCTTTGTTCCCCATCCTTCAGCCTCCCACGTACTAGCCCCAAGGTTTCTCTCAGACCTGACATTCAGATTTGGCGAGTGAAAAGTTACACAGGGCGTTAGGAGAAAAAGATGAGAGAGGAATAAACCAAAGAGGCCTGTCAGAGTAGAGAGGTCACGACCAAGGAGAAAAGTGTTAATGAAAGCACAACAAAGGATGACGAGAGCAAGCGACTAAGGGTTGGAGATAAGAGAGACAAAGGGAGAGTTGTGTTTGGGCTTAACACCAACCCTCCAATCTAATCTCCCAGAGGGACAAAGAATTCTTAACAAGGAGCCAGGGAGGGGGGAGCGCTTGGTCCATATCGCTGCTCACATATCGATACGTTGTTTGTGTGTTGACTGATGAAAGACAAGAAAAGCGCTGGCTGCTAAGTACACCTCCTCTCCACAGGGGTCTAATTATCTTCCTCCAACCTCATGCTGCAACAAATTTTGGCATATTCCTTCTGGCTTTCCCCAGAAAATATCCACAATGATACCTGGATGATGATTTTCTTTCTCTGTACATGAGTGGTGTCTTGTGGGTAGGGATAGGAATCACTCGCAATCACAATAAACAATATAACATCATGACGATGACTCACAACACAATAATGCTGATACTTTGCCATTGGGTCAAATAGTCATGGTGCAATAAGTGATATGAACACATTATTCTGATATGTATGTGACAAAAAAAAAGTGACATAGCTCAGCATTTTTCGGAATAAAACACACTTCTTGTAAATCTCATCAAATTAATGCAATCCAAAACACAACTCTCGGTGACACATAGTGAAAAGTAATGATGCTTGTTTTTTTTTTGTCATCATGATTCTTTACCAACAATATTGACGCTATCACGACACGTTGCTTGTGTGATGAATGAGACATTCTGTCAAAGGTGGTCTCCGAATGCCTGCTTCACAACACAAATCGTGGCCAACTTTACACCATACATTACTGTATATCAGAGGTTTGATTGTATTTCCTTCGAAACTATTTTGTGTGACTCGTCATCCCAGTGTCCAGAAAATCAATTTCTTAGCCATGTCAAGGATGTTCAGTACACTCCTTGCAAACCACATTTAAAGAGAATGAGAGGACCCGCTTTTGCCGGGGATGCAACAAGTCAAGTGTGCTCACGCCCACAGCAGCGCAAACAGCCATTTTTTTTAAATGCACCAGCCTGCTTGCGTCTGCGAAAAAAACAAGACTCAGTTAAAAACGCAGCTCACTGCACTGATAATGAATTACCAAAAATGAAAACTGACACAGTGGTTCATTTTCTCTTTTTCACTTTTAGTTTTTTTAATGTGTTGTTTTCTTGGTTCTTTTGACCAGTGATTTCTCTTTACGCTTTATCGGTGCGTTTTTGTTGTGGAATAAATAGTTTTGTATGGATTTTTGCTTGTGTCTACATTTGTGGGATCCGACCGCCATCCAGTTCTGGGGAGCACTAGTTACCTATTTCTTGAACAGGACTGTGGACTACTCATGTAGTCCTTAGATGGGCAGGGGGTGGGTGGGGGGGACTTCCTGGTGTCCACGGGCACCACGTTCGTGACCCCTACTATATTGTGTTTGAAACTTTTCGATGCAGATATTTTGTCCCACTCCTCATTCTGAGTCAGTTCATTTCCTTTTGCATCAGAGTCCATTTGTGTTGGTCATGATATCAGTGGACACCACCTGGTTTGCACCTGCATTGAAGCTCCAACGTCATGGCCATTCATTTGAATGACTGGCTTGCCTCTTTCCTCTGGGGAGGATGCTCGGCCAGAATGAGAGAAAGCTTGCTTCATGCGTGCTGGCAGGGAGTCCATCACATCGCATGCCCATGTGTGCGTGCATGCATGGTTTTTAGGAGGCGCTTTTTCCAGACGGTCCTAAGAGATAAAGCCCACCGAGATACTCTTATGGCAGCAAACACCAACAACACTGAAATCCAATCCGTGCTTACTGCCTGTGTCCCCCCTTTTGAAGTTCCAACTTGGAAGATTTGAGTGTGGTGAATCGCCTGAGCTGCTCTGTTTCCATCAGTGGCCTCAATCACACCCCCAACCGCCACTTATGTTTTGCTGTACTCTGACTGGCCCAAAAAATAATAATAATAATCGCATGGGATTGTTTCAATAGCATTTGCTATTCATGAAGTCACACAAGATAATATTAAGTCATTTGGAATTTGCTATTATAACACGTCATTTATTGACATGTTCACATTGAAGACCCATGCAAACATTGATGACACAGGTATATATTGACTGGGCACCTTATTAGGTGCACCTGCAAATTCAAACAAGCTTCAGTGCATTCAGTCGAGTGCAGACTTTTACGAAGGCCAACCAGTGGGTTTTCTATTGCGCTCCTCCCCATTGGAGTTGCAAATGAGCAGGAACTTATCACAGCTGACTTTGGGCGAGACTTACGAGACACCCTGGACCCTGGGTGCAGATGGGGACCTTCATTTATTCATTCATGTACAAACTCCCAATTCCATTTAAGTTGGGATGTTGTATAAAATGAGAATTAAAAACAGAATACAATGATTTGCAAATCCTTTTCAACTGAATATATACAGTACATTAAAAAGACAAGAAAGACATTCAGTGCAAACTATTAAACTTAATGAACTGCATTGTTGTTTTTTGTTTGTTTGTTTGTTTGTTTGTTTGTTTTGCAAAAATCACTCATTTTGAACGTAATCAGGTGTAAACTACTCATCGTTTACAGCTCTGCAGTTGGAAACGCTTTCCATAATTTGAAACTGAAATCACACATTCTAACAGCATTTGATTTATATATATATATATATATACAGAGAGAGAGAGAGAGAGAGAGAGAGAGAGAGAGAGAGAGAGAGAGAGATAGATAGATAGATAGATAGATAGATATAGGTTTTACACTCTGTATCTCAGAAGTTAAATAAGGTCACCAAAATATTAGTAACATCCGTCAGTCTGATTTGTGCACACTGCAAATTACAACCATTTAAACATACAGGACATTCTTAAATCGTTGTCATTCAAATCATAAAAGTTTGTCGTAAAAAATTACATGCTGGAGATAATTGACCAAAGTTGGACTTTTCCACCGCTGACATGACACGTTTTGTCTTGATTGTCAATCTATCTACAAACTTTGGGTGTTTCTGAGTTTGCCTGTCATTCATAAAAGTAATTCATGCTAAATCATCTGGTAAGTATTAACATTGAGGTTCATTTTGCATTGAAATAACAAAAACATAGATTTTGTCATAAAACTGCAGTAATAAGTTACAAGAACGGTTGAGATTTTGATGACTAGAATCGCATCAGCGTGTTTCGTTTGTCAAAGAATTGAAGTGACATATAAAAGCATGCAATTCGTGCACACATAGATTACATTCTCGATCAGGTGATATCAGAACTGTAAAATACAGCATGACAGAGTTATTTACACATTACATGTTCAATGTCAACAAATAAACAACCTTGAGACACGTTCAAAGAGGGATGAAGTCATGGGGGGGGGGTAGTTTGATATGATATTTGGAGGAGGGGGCGGGGGC